TACCCACGAGCCGTTGCGTTCTTAGCGTGTGTTGTTATCGTCGCTTGGGACTCAATTCTCGCGCGTGCGCAGGTGACGACCCTCCGCTTTAAAAATTGAAATAATATTGTCAGCTGACTAACTATGTCGACCCGATTTTTTTCTATCCAAGAAAAATTCCGAGCATCTGTGACAAAAACTAGAGAAATTCAGGTTGAAGTGACTGTCCTCAGAATGAAAATTTCATTCAAAAACCATTGATGGCGCTTCTCAGTATTGTAGGATGGCGCCCTCTGGTGACCATGTATAGCATACTAACTTGCATACCAGTAAATCTCAGTATTGGCTCAATTTTACCAAAAACATTCCGTTCCATTTACTACGGAATGTGATGTACACCACGCTTGTGTGCGACAGCTACGACGTGGCTTGTTCCAGTTTACATGGCCTTGAAAGTAATTTAAAGTCCTGAATTCAGTTCGAATTTCTATGAGACGAGTACACTACCTTGGATCGTGGTTCTTTTTTTAGATTCATGGCAGGATACATATAATGTTTGTTTTTCTGCCAAGTAACAAGTCACCCAATCTCCAGCTTCCTCATTCCATGCCCCCGTACTCATTCCAACACGATCAAACATCTTCCGAACATTGTCCAAATGTCGATGTTTGCCAGATAAATTTCAACTTGACCAGACTGATAGTAGTGACAAGTTGCATGCGAATGTACAACATACTTGATCGGTCTAGTAGGATATGACACATCATAATCTCTCTGTATGTAGCCACATCCCCCAGCGGGGTATAAAATATATTTTCAACATGTATTCAATCAATGGATTGACAAATTGTATTGGCATTTTACTGTAGCCATAAGCAATTTTACAAGTAGTAGAAAATTATATAGAGTTTATGTAGGTGTCATTCCTTATCCCGGGATGATTCGGTTGTACAATCAAATATACCCTCAACACAAACGTCCGGTATTATCTGCCGGGTATATACAATAACTATTAACTCGAATTCACCGAAGTTTTATCAGTATTATTAACACAAAGTATGAGTATTGACTCGTACTCTAGGTCATACTGACTGCTTGTGCAAATTAGCACTGGGTACTAAAAGTTGTAACATAATTGCATTACTTTTTCCGAATTACAAATCGTTATAATAAGGTATAACATATATCTAGAGATATTTCAGCTGAATAGGGATACAATATGTACAAAACGAAATGTAAAAGACAAACAACTTATGTCATACTGAAATTAGAGAGAAAGCGTTGTAATAATAGAACGAATAATGACCTAATCATAGGTATAGGGCGCGTTTTTTGTTACACGATGTGGCAGCGTGCTTGTTTTCGTGAAGGAATTTGATACATGTTTACAGCTAATGTAGTAGGTTCTTAATAATTGTCACAATATTAGTCTACAGTCCAAGTTCGATAAATTTGCCAAAAAAAGAAACAAGTTGTTTAAGCCAAACTACTTGTTTACACTAAAAAAAAATAATGATTAAAAACGTTTACGAATACATTCCTTATATGGTAACAGCATCACTTCGATACTGTGATGGCAGAGTCTAGCGAAGTTTGGATAACCCTCAATAAGACTTTCACGATACGTCCTGGATGTGTATGAAATACTGCTTTCTCTAATTATATTTTTACATTTTCTTAAGAAAACTGCGAATATTTTATTCATGTTAGTAATTTGTCTTAAAAATGACATCATTGCGTCTAGACTAATTGATGAGACACGCCTTTGTCTTGGCTCTTCTAGGCATTATTCGACCTCCTTGTTCAGATCAGACGATTTTACATTTCGTCGCGGAATATCATGTAAAAGATTTCGAAAATGTGGAATTTGGAAATCACCAATAAAGACAGCAAAGAAAGTGGCACGCGAATCACATATCATTTGGTATTCTGGTCTCGTCTCGGTTGATTTGCGTTTCCCAGAGGGGCGGAACCAAATGAAAGTATCTGATCAATTATTCATGAAACGGTTATTTTCAAAAGGCCCACTCAGCGTGTACACTGTGTACACTTTGGGAACTGAGCTGGCGGCGAGCTGAGTAACTTTTGCCACATTCCCATGCAAATCGCTTTACTATATAGTTGATCTGATTATGCTATAGTTACGATTCGTGTATTTTCTACGTATTAGTGTTTAACAACCTAGCTGCCAGCTTTTAGTTTTAGCATCAGTCTTCCGTTATATTATCAACAGTGTTAGTGCGACGCGGCGTGTTAAAGTTTTGTGGTATTTCGCGGGACCAGCTGACACCATTGTTTTCCATCCGTTGTTTGACTACTCATGGATTTGTTGAGATACAACAAGTTGCTTTGGTAAATTTCAAGTGATTATAATACGGAGATTCGGTTAAATATAGTAAGTACTATTGCTACGTTACCCGCTGAACATTTCCGTGTGGCTGGGATTTTCCTTGTTGGACGTATATTTCTTTCAACATGGCCGTTCGGGCTCCAGTTCTGCTATTTCTCGCTGTAGCGTTTACAGCAACTTTAATCCACAGTGCGACTTTACCGAGGCTAACAGTGCCCCATAATGTACATTCAGGCTATGAAATAGCCAGGTTGCGGCACGTTGGACAGAAATATTCAATCAATGCGGTCGGTGATGCCGCGAACATTTTTCAAGTGTCGTCGGACGGCGTCGTAACAACGCGAAGAAAGTTAACAAATCGTGCCAACACTGTAGTCGTTCTTGGTATCGACCAAACGACAGATACAAACTCATGGCAGGAAATATTTAACGTTTACATCATAGACAGTAAGAATATTATTAACTTCAAAAACGAAAAATATGTTGGCGCACTTAAAGAAAATAGTGCAGTCGGAGCCGCCGTTCGCATTGACAATTTTTTTGCCGTTTTGCCGCCTTGGCAAACGAACGATACAAAAAT